CCCAAGCTGCTCTGCTCTGTGTTGAGTAAACCTATCTGTCCCTCTCTACCACCTCACCCCCACACACATCTAGAACTCCATTCCGATCACTAGTACCTAGGTGTATCCCATTGTTAAACGACAACTTCTAGACACCTCCTAAGTGCTGGGCAGCAGACTAAGCACTGGGCACAGAATGTATAAGGTACCAATTGTGCCCTCAAGGGGTTCAGGGACTGAGGAGATGGCTCTGTGAACATGTCAAGATAACACAGTGTATTACGATGGAGATATTGTACAAGCAAGGTGTGCTGGGACTGAGTGGATAGACTACTTACCATCCTGGGGGAGGGGAGTCGGAGGGGAGGGACATTGGAAAGCACTTTTCCCAGGTGCTGTCAGTTTAATCTGTGGAGGAAAGGGGTAATGTTTGCTGAGGCATACAGGGAGGCCCAGGGTAGCTGGGTGATGTGGGGATGTGGTGCGCAGTGAAAGCCTGCAGGTAGCCGGGGATTTAGCTCAGTGGTTTCGCTGCCTGCTGTGCAAGCGCAAGGAGTTCGATTCCTGGTACCAAAAGAAAAAAAAAAAAAAAAAGAAAGCCTGCAGGTAGAAAGAGACTGTATTGTTAGACTGTGGACACTTCAGTGGGGGTGTGATTAAAAGAGAACAAAGTGGAGGACAGGTTTGAGTACAAGGAGAGAGTTGGCAACTGTCCAAGCAAGGAGGACAACCATCTGGAAAAAGGAAGTAGTAAGGGAATGTGGAAGAATAGACAGACGTGAAAAGACAGGGGCGGGGGAGAGGCCTAGGCTCTCAGGGAGTCTGGGGGATCCCCATTCCCCTGGTGGGAGGAGCAAGCCACTAGAGACCACTCCCTCTCAGATAAATGGAATCTGGAGTGTGGGTGGCTCCCAGGAGCATCCATGAGCTAGGGGAAGCTTGGACTGAGAAGGAATGGAGGCAAGGGCTGAAGATACACATTTTAGGAGCATCTTAGGGGAAATAAAATGTGCTTTATCCTTTGACCTAGCAATTCCACTCACAGGAATTTCTCCTAAGGACATAATTAAGAATGTGTGTTAAAATTTATCTACAAAAATGCTCACTGTTTATAACAGTAAGAGTGGAAATACTTCATAAACTGCTCTGACAGCGAAGAATGTTTAGCAGTAGAGGGCTGGTTAAACAAATTATATGATACCCATGCAAGAGAATTTGATTCTGATAATACAATGAATATTATAGATGAATGCTGCTTGACATGAAAAAACATCTGTAATATTTTGCTAAGTAGAAAAAGGCAGACTCTAAAACTATTTGTAAATTAAAGTGTTGGTTATTGTGTAAAAACAGTTAATACCCTAATGCTGATTCTTTCTAGGTGGTAGAATTATAAATGTATTTTTCCCCAACATCAATCAATATGTGGCTTTTATTGTAAGATGATTCCGGCCATGTGGCCTCTGTCCTGAGTGGCTACATGGTAGAGAACAAGGAGTACACTTCTGCCATTGGTGGGCCTTTGGCAAACTTTTCCATTCTCTAAGTCTCAGTTCTCTCATCTTTATACTTGAGAGAATAACACTTTTTTCAAAATTATCTCATTTAAATAAAGTCTGTAGAAGGCCACTGGTTTGGACTGAGCTCCTGTACTAGTTCCAATAGACCAGACCAAAATGGAATTACTCATGCTAAAGTTCCTGACCTCCAAGACACAACCCAGTTATTATCTGACCTTCCAAAGATTCAGGTGGTGGGGAGGAGGTGGCCAGCGGGGATGGTGATGGTGGGGGAAAACACATCAAATGGGTCAGTTGTAGCTATCTTAAGTCCCCTGTTTTAACCTTTACAAGGAAAGTAACTTTGAAACAACCTATGTGCTCTTTGTTCTGTTTCTACTTCTTCAGTCCTTTTCTGTCTGTCATGTCAAATTCCTCTGCTCAGCTCTTCCAAACAGTCTGTTTTATAGAATGAAGTGTTGCCTGATTGACACAAATAAAAGGCAATTAAGATCTCTAGATTAAGTTTACTGTAATGTCCTCTTTTGACATTGACAACAAAATATTTACATACAGTACACAGCAGCTAAATAAACATGAGTCCATCTTCCCTTTTCTTTCTCCATGCTAGACTTGGATTGTGCCTCCAGAGTCTCTCTGACCCTCACAGTGGGAAGCAATCTGCCTCTCTCTGAACATAGCACGATCTTGCAGTTCTGACTGCACTGAACTTGGCTGGACCTGGTGGGAAGGGCCAGCTCTGCTCCCTTCTTGACAGTAAGTGCCTGGTCCTGAGTCTGGTCATCTCTCTCCCAGGGTGGTAGCACCTAACAGTGCTTTGCACATTGAGGGCGCTCTAGAGTTTTTGTTGACTGATTTCACGTTTCTTTTTATGATTTAGCTAATCATGGGTTACTCAAAGGCTGGACGATTCCTCAAGGGTTACTTTAGTCAGATCTCTTGGAATTTTTCTCCTCCCAATCTGTAGCTCTGGCAAGATTCATCTTCCAGTCTGCAAAGAGATGACCAGCAGAGGGGGTCGGGGGAGGAGGCATCTCTCTCAGGCCTCGGAGCTCCTGTTAGAAGGTCTGAGGAGAGAGCTGGAGGATGAAGAGGGTAAAGTGAAGGATGGGCCCCCACCTCTCCAGAACCCCAGCAGGACAGCTTAGGACAAAAGGAGGTGGCAGCACATCATTTCACAGGCCCAGGCCCTGCTTCTCTGGCCAGCAGTAAAGTCTCTCCACCCTGCCTTTGTCACCAGCCCTGGGCAGGAATTTTGGTCATCTCCCACGCCCTTGCCTTGCTCTGGGGACACATCCTTCCTGCCAACAGCTTGTAGGACTGGGGAGGCAGCCTGGAGCTGAGGAAAAATCTTTAGGCTGCAAGTCAGGAGACTCGTGTAACCCGTGGTTACACCCTTGCAGCCTGCCTCAGTTTCCACATCTATAAACTAGGAATAACCACACAGCCCCTGCCCCTTGTCACAGCCCGGGGTTTCTGAGCGGGAACCAAATCATATCTTAAAAAGTACGAACAGACAAAGAGCTCCTTATAAACGCCAGGTGTTCCCAGGGCGGTCTGTAGGGCTTCCTCTCGCTAACTTCCCACCTAAGCAGTCCTGTCCGCCCCGCCCTGGCTGCACCGGCCTCACCCACTGCATCTCCATCTTTCCCTTCGCGGTCTTCCTTTGCCTCAGAGGTCCTCAGTCTCTGCATCTCCCAGTCCATTTCTGGGTCTGGCTCTGGGGCCCCTCGGGGCTCTCCAGGGACTCTGCCTCGGGTTCCCTCCCGAAGTCGCTGCCCGGGCGCCCCCCGCCCGGCGCGCCCTCTTTTGGCATGGTCGCCCGGCCAGTGAATCGCCCAATGAGAGCGCCGGACTTGAGTCTGACAGCTCAGGAAACGGCCAATCCAGCCGGGCCAGGGAAGGGGGGCTCAGGGCCAGGGCTGAAGTTGGGTTGAATGGGGGAGGGGGAAGTAGAGGTGATACAAAAGAGGGGAGCTAGGACTGGGGGCTCAGGGACCCAAACCGGGGGTTGGGGAGGACCGCCCTCCAGCGTGGTCCTGCGAGGGACAGCGGGCTGGACCCGGCTCCAGGGAGGGAGGGGCGCGGCGCAGCGCGGATTTTAGGTGAGGAAGGGGAGCAGGGGTCCCCGAGATCTCGGCCGGGCCCGAGGATGCCCGCGCCGCGCAAAGGCTGGGGCCGCGGCCCGGCCGAGGGCGGAGGCGGCAGCGCGCCGCTGTGAGCCGAAGCCGGAGCGGCGCGGGGGGCGGGGAGGCGGCGGGAGGAGGGGATGCGGAGGGCGCTCCGGCGGCGGCGAGCGGGCGAGAAGGGAGGAGCGGAGCGAGCGGCCGGAGCGGCGCAGGGCCCGAGGCGTGCATGGCGCGCCCGGAGCCGGGCTCCCGAGGCCCCCCCCGGAGCGTCCCCGGGGCGCCCCGGCTCCTCGGCGGGCCGCTGTCGGCCGGCTGCTTCTGATCGCCGGCCCTGCAGCGCTGGACGCCGTGCTCCACGAGAGAAGCCCGCCTGCGTCGGGGCAGAGCAGTGGCGGCGCCGCGCCGGATTACGCCCTCCGCCTGGCCGCGGTGGGCCCGCAGCCGGCAGCGAGGAGCCCGGGGATCGCGGAGCCAGCGCGACAGAGCCCGGGACCGGCGGGTGCAGGCCAGTGCCGCTCGGCTCGGGGACGAAGGGGAGGCGACAGGCGAAGGGCCCCACCGGTCCTCGCCCCCGCCCCCTGCGCGGACGCGCTGAAGGCTCGGCTTGGCTTCGGCGGGAGCCACGCTCCGACTCTCGCGGCGGGAGGTGGGGGATGCGGGCGACGGCCCCCCCGGGCTCCAGGACCCTCCCCCCCAGGGCTCGGAGCTGTTGCTCCGCCTGCCGCCCCCTCCCCCGTCCTCTCCACCCCCCATCCCACCTCCCCACCCCTCGTAAGAAAATAATGCTGGCTGGCGCCCGCTCCTCCCAGTGCTTCTCAGTCCGCCTCGAGGAAAGCGCACCGGTAGCTTCTCCGCGCCGGGACCCCCGCCGAGCCGCCCTCGCCGCCACCTCGTCCAGAGGACAGCCGCGGAGCTCCGCTTAGGCAGCATCTGCGAGCGCCGCGCCCGGGTTCTGTCAGCTCTGGGGAAGGCGCCGCCCGAAAGGACACCTTTCCGTCCCGCCTTGTCCGTAACTCCAGCCCTCGTCGAGCTCGACGCGAGCCAGGAGTCCGGACGTCTCTGCGCGCCGCGCAGCTGCCAAGCCGTCCCCGCCGCCCCAGCGAGGAGCCAACTCCATCTCGAACTTGGGACTCCTGACGCGGACTCTCAGCCGCAGTTCACCTCAGGGCGCTCGCCTCCCCGTCCGTCGTCTGGCTGCCCTCCACCTCTCAGGACGGGGGTGCCAAGATGCCCCGCTGCTGCGCAAGGCCCCGGGCCGCCCCCGACGTGTGACCCCAGCCTGGTCCCCCTGCTCGGCCGGCCGCCCTCCCCTTGGAGACCCCCGGCCCGGTCCCGGGGGGAGGAGGAAGACGACGACGAGGCCGAAGGGGGCATGTCAGGCTCCAAGAGCGTGAGCCCCCCGGGCTACGCGGCGCAGACCGCAGCGGCGCCGACGCCCCGGGGAGGCCCCGAGCACCGCTCCGCGTGGGGCGAAGCCGATTCCCGCGCCAACGGCTATCCCCACGCTCCCGGGGGTTCGAACCGCGGCTCTGCCAAGAAACCTGGCGGGGCGACCACCCCTCAGCGGCAGCAGCGCCTGGCCAGCCGCTGGCGCAGCGACGACGACGACGACGCTCCGCTGAGCGGCGACGACCCCCTGGCCGGGGGCTTCGGCTTCAGCTTCCGCTCCAAGTCTGCCTGGCAGGAGCGCGGCGGCGAGGACTGCGGTCGAGGCAGCCGGCGGCAGCGGCGGGGCGCGGCCGGCGGGGGCAGCACCCGGGCGCCCCCTGCGGGCGGCGGTGGCGGCGCTGCGGCCGCGGCGGGCGGGACGGAGGTGCGCCCCCGCTCGGTGGAGCTGGGACTGGAGGAGCGGCGGGGCAAGGGCCGCGAGGCCGAGGAGCTGGAGGCCGGCGCTGTCGAGGGCTGCGAGGGGTCCGGGGATGGCGGCAGCTCAGCGGGCTCGAGCTCCGGGCCCGGCGCGGTGCTGTCGCTGGGCGCCTGCTGCCTGGCCTTGCTGCAGATATTCCGCTCCAAGAAGTTCCCGTCGGACAAGCTGGAGCGGCTGTACCAGCGCTACTTCTTCCGCTTGAACCAGAGCAGCCTCACCATGCTGATGGCCGTGCTGGTGCTTGTGTGTCTTGTCATGCTGGCCTTCCACGCGGCGCGGCCTCCGCTCCAGCTGCCTTACCTGGGGGTGCTGGCCGCCGCCGTGGGTGTGATCCTTGTCATGGCCGTGCTCTGCAACCGCGCAGCCTTCCACCAGGACCACATGGGCCTGGCGTGCTACGCGCTCATCGCTGTGGTGCTGGCTGTCCAGGTCGTGGGCCTGCTGATGCCACAGCCGCGCAGCGCCTCCGAGGGCATCTGGTGGACCGTGTTCTTCATCTACACCATCTACACGCTGCTGCCCGTGCGCATGCGGGCCGCGGTGCTCAGCGGGGTGCTCCTGTCTGCGCTCCACCTGGCCATCGCCCTTCGCACCAATGCTCAGGACCAGTTCCTGCTCAAGCAGGTAGGGGCCCACTTGGCCGCAGGGCCTGGATTGTGGGGTGGGCAGGCCTCACCTGATTCCAGAGAAAGGGATCCCACCCTAACCCTCTGAAGCGGTGAAGAGCCAACAAGACAGGCTTCTTGACCCCCATTATTCCAGCGTTGTCATTTACAAGAGTGTGATTGTCTTATTGGAAATATTGCCGGCCTGGTAGACACATGCTCCAAACTGTAGCCATCATTGGTGGGATTCTAGTGAGGAAGGAGTGTTGAAGAAAATTACATATAGAAGTTCCCATCTTTCCCAGAGCTTCTGCCCCTAAATACGAAAGCCTCCAACGAAAGTGTCTGGGCTCTCTAGAAGCCACCTGGTTCTGAGCATCAGGACTGACTTGTTAACAGAGACTTGGATAAAGGGTTGGAGACGGTGGGCACCACTTGCCCAGTCTTGAGGAAAAGATAGGATAACCCTGATGGCTGTCTCCAGCAGGCGTTTTGGGAGGTGGAGATGTCCCTGAAGAAGGAGTAACAAGTTTGTTTACCACTGTGCCCCAACCCAACAAGCTGCAGTCAGCAAAGGTGGGAAGGAGTTTCAGAGCTGTGTGGTGGTGGACCTCTGCCTGGCCTGGGTAGAGAGCTTGGTGTTGGAACATCGTGATCCCTTCCAGTGGGTGCTCCTGGTCATGGCTGATGGTGGGGGCATTTTATCCCTGCTGGGACTTGTTGGGCAAACCTAGAACTGTGGGCTAAAGAAGAAATAAAACTTCTGCCTAGTTAGTGGTGATTCCACGCCTCTGGGAGGAAAAATGCTTGTTATCCCGACTTCGGGGTGAGGCAACCTAACATCCACACTTTCTCCCTTTAGCATCCTGTTGTTTGTCCCAACACATGACCCATGCTGAGCCAGCTTGTTTTCTTGCTGCTCTGCTGGAGAGAGGCATTTTGGTTTTGCTGCAGGCCAGTGTCTTGACTGTGGACCCCAACCCTCTCAGAGCCTGCCTCCTGTCATACAACCTATAGCATTTCATTGTCACTGCCTTCCTTCTTTTCCCCTCTTCTGCTACTTTCTCCAGACTTTGATCTTGTTGAGTGATGCATCCTTTGATCTTGTTGGAGTGCTCCCGTGTCCCTTTGCGTCCTGGACACATACTCCCTTATAGAGACTAGCACTGATGTGGACTTCAGAGTGCTAGCCTCTTGGTGAACCTGCAGCGTTCATGGAACTTCTCTGGGTTCCAGGTTCTTTATGTAGAGAATGAGAGGATTGATTATGCCCCTTCCACTCCGATATCCTCTGTACCAAGCCGCACCCCTGCAGAGAACCTTCTTTCCAGCCACACAGGGCTCTTCCTCTTCTGCTTGATTAACTGAGACATAGACTGGAGCACTTACTCTCCAGTGCTCATTGGTTCAGCTTCCTGTGCAGTGAGTGGAACCCTGTTGGCTGCAGGAATCCTCAGGTACCAGTGTTTCCTCTTTCCCTTGCCTTGAATAGTGCAGAATACTTAGTACAGATTTAATAACTGCTTGCCAGCTTGGTTAGGGTTCAGTAAATGAGATAGGTGGAGTTGTGATGTTAAGTTAAAGTTTTTCTGAACTAGCACCAAAAGAAAATAATTTTAAATAACTTTCAGATAATAGATTTGAATTTAGAAGAATCTTTTTTTTTTTTTTTGGTACTGGGGATTGAACTTGGGACCTTGTGCTTTTGAGGCAAGCGGTGGCACCACTGAGCTAAATCCCCAGCCCTAGAAGAATCCTTTGAGAGACGGTGGTTTAAAAAAGTTACTAGTACTGTTAGTGTTTCTGAAGGCTCCAACTCTTTCGGCCTGAGTCCATGCTCTTAGCTGGGTGTTGTATCTGTGGGGAATGTGGCTACCTTGGGTGGTGCAGCTTTTCTGCAGTGGGAAGGGCACGTCATCCATGTGGAAAAGCAGAGATTTCCAAGATAGTTCAGGGTATTTTCTGAACCAGACTTGGGACACAGGGTCTTATTACAGCTTTCAGCAATCCTGGACCATTGATTTCATGAGATTTGTGTCAGATTCCAGAAACGGGGTTTTGAACTGGGGTGTTGCAATTCCGTTTTAGCGTCATTGCAAAATGTCATTGCAATAGTGTCTGACTTCCCCTCTGGTTCTCTGGGCAAAGCCCTCTTCCTTTCCCAGTCCACCAAGCTCCTGCCCAATGCTTCACTGTGATCTTTAGACTTTTCCTTGACTTTAGGATTTGGGGTGGATTTACACTTAATTTTTCCGTGATCTGCTCTGAGCATAGCAGAGATGGTTATGAATGGTCCAAGACAAGAGAATATAAACATTCTTTCTATTTGGCTTCAGAGAAAACTATCTTTTTTCCTTGTACTTGATTTACCTTTCTGATTATGCTTGATGCAAAATTTGTCTTTATGAGCAAAGTGTGCTAGGTGGTCCCAGAATATGAATGATATAGCCTAGCTTTAACTTCTGCCTCAGATTATGCCAGAGTAGCAGGTATTTGAGGTGGCTTAGGTCAGATGCCTTTTTTTGTTGTTGTTTTTTGTTTTTCAAATGGAGACACCTGTCCAGGGAAAGGGGTGGTTGTTTGTTTGTTTTTTTGGTACTGGGGATCAAACCCAGGACCTTGTGCTTGTAAGGCAGGCGGCGGAACCACTGAACTAAATCCCTGGCCCAGAAAAGGGTGGTAGTGAGTGGTCTCTAGTGTTGAGGCTGAGACTTGCCCTCCAGTGCCTTGGCACATGGTAGGCCCTGAGTTAAAGGTATGGGCATTTCTTCACTTCTCCTCTGGCTAGGGCAGCCCCTTCCGCTTATGGCCCAGGTCCTCTATCATTATTGAACCTGTGCATTTTATTTTTCTCCAGCCTTTTTAAGGCTTGGAATCTGTCCTTGGCTGCAATTAGGAAAAGAAGCATTTGGTGTCTCAACTGGTTGCCTTTTACTCAGTAGGTAAATAAGAGCAAGGTGTGGCAGCCTTCCCATGGGATGATGTTCTTCCTTCCCCTCTGTACCTCCAGTTCTTGTCTTCCTCTGGATCTGTCGCCCTCCTGCTCTGCCCTTTTCCTCTCCTTGCCTGTGCCTTTCCTCTCTTCTTTCCTTTCCTTGCCCTCCCCCTACAGCCCCCTGTTGCTCTCTGCCCGCTTCTCCTTTCCTGAGCCTTCCTTCGTTTTGTGCCTTCTCCTCTCTTACACCCTGTTGTGGCCTCTCAGCCCCTTCTGTTCTCTTGTCTTGCTGTTGTCTCCTCATGTGCTCACTGGGGTACAGTAGGAGCGTCACAGGGTTGTTTTTTCCTCCTCTATTGCCTGTTAGAAGTCCCTCTGCTACACCCATACCATAAATAACACTCGAGCATCTGCCAAACACATTCCTCACTTGTGTTAATAGGCTGCAATGATGCTGGAGCTTGTTGCCATGGCAACCTCATTTTTGTTTGACTGTATCCCCGTCTGCTACATAAAGCCCCTGTGCACTCACACACAAACAGTCACGCTCCCACAACTATTACCCATGCAAGGCTGTCAAAGACTATTTCAGAGACAGTGTCTTTGGGCCCCGTGGGGGTAGAGTGGTCATTTGAGCTCAAGGAGATGGCCACCTACACCGCCCAGTGCTACCCTAGGAGGTGAAGATGGATGGAAGAGCTCTTTGAAAAGTAAGAGTCCTCTTCAAATGTGGGGTATTTTTATGCAGCCATATTGCTTAATGTGTATTGTGACCCCTCCCAGATCACAGTGTGTCTCATCTTCAGCCCACTCCTTACCACTCTACCCCTTTGGGGGAAGCTCAGTGATTTCCTGCATTTCTTCCTTTGTGCCTGTTTGAACCCACAACTGTCACCAGTTGTCCCAGCAGTCAGAATGGCACAGGCACTGTGTGGGTGATGTTCTGTGACTGTGAGCACGTGTGAGTCTTTGTGGCAAAGAGGCAAGGGATGAGTGGGGGCGGGGATATGGATCAGGAATTGATCGCTGTGGCTGCCCAGGGGTGCAGATGTACATGCATATGTGTGCCTGCGTGCCTGTGCATATCTGTCTGTTTGTTGGGCCAGCAGGCTGACCCAGGTGAGGGAGCTGGCTGGGGAAGCCTTTGTCTAACTTTGAGATCCTCACAGCTTTGTCCTCTTTGTTCTTGGTTGGTACCTCGCTTCCTAGGGCCATTTGCCTTTTTGATTTGGGGCCTTGCTGCTCTTCTTGATCTCTGACTCCTGAGGGCAGTGCTCTGGGTGTACTTGCTCCCCTTTCCATAGTGATACTGGGGGTTGGACTTGAGGAGTCAGTTTCTGTGACCCCATGGAGTACTCCCTTTCCTTTCAAAAACCTTTCCTGCTGCCCATCAGCTCAGCAGCCCTGGAGAACTGCTCTGAAGAGCCACCTCCTGCTCTGGAACTTGGCCCGGAGGCCTGTCAGTGGGTCACCATGGCTGTTCCCTGTGTAATACTGAGTCGGGTGAAGGAGGACTCCAATTACTTCCCCTGTCAACTGCATTTCCAGACAGGAGAAATTTGGCCCCAAGTGTGCTCTAGCAGCAGCAGTCTGGGGTGGGAGTTGGCTTTGAATTTGGAGCTTGGTGGAGGATCTTGTCATTTTTCTCCATGCTGATTGTATTTGCCAGTTATTTGTGCTAATTTTTTTTTTTTTTGGAAACAGGATTTCTCTATTCAGACTGGCCTTGAACTCACTATGTATCCCAGGTTGCCCTCCAATTTATGGTGATCCTTCTGCCTCAGCCTGCTGAGTGCTGGGATCATAGATTCGCATCACCACACCCGGCAATATGTGCTAATTGTCTTCAATTATATTGCCTCTCTCTCCAGGCAGCTGGGAGGAGCCATAGAGGGGGGAGCAGAAGTGATTCCCAGAAAGGGTTCTAGCAGGACTTCAGGATGGGGCGTTATCTGGGGTATCTTATCTATGCCAGGAGGTATTCAGGAATGGTGGAGACTCAGCCCAGGGGCCGATTGCACAGCTGATGTATTTGCAGCAGTGTTCTCTGTTAATAATTCAATCTAAGTTTTGATCTGCGAGCA